TTGGTTCACACTCCAGTCAGAAGAGGTAATGTTTCTCTTAGTCTTTGGAAGAGGTACATTTTTAACAAAGCCTGCATCGTTAAATCAAATGTAACCAAACAGTAGCTGCAAAGAGTGCACTGCGGGAGACAGAAGGGTTTGCTCTCTAGGCGCATTGCTGAAGAAGGGGACAGGCAGTGCCAAGCAGTTTTCATCAATACTTTTACGTTATGATCTCTGTATGTACATGAAATTAAAAAGTTAACCATTTGGAGTGTATTTATTAATTGATCACCCTTAGCTGATTGTAATGCTGTGGTGCAGAGCGAAGTTAATAACCCACAAAAAGCTCCCACTCTTGTAGTAATATTTAATCTTAGACATTTTGTTCGCTGAAACTACTAGGAAAGACTATCATCTCTAATCTACATACCTCTGCACACACCCCTGTTTCAGAACAGGAGCAGTTGTCCCATACATACCCTGTATTTATGGAGTATATTTCAGTAATAGCTTCTAGTAGGATTTTTTTAAATTTATTGTATTTCGTGGATCACTTCTTAACGTTTTTTATGAGATGCTCACAAACACACTACTGAGGTTAATGCAAAGTGGGTTGTTTCATTAAAAGGATGGAGCCGGTATGCAGAGTTTTAAATACAGTGACAAGAGACATTAGTAGAGGGAAAGCCAGTGCAACCGTTAAAGGACTAATGAGACTAAATTAATGAGGAGGTGAGTTAGTGGCTGCATTTTGTGTGACATGGAGGGACTGGTGTCTTGTGATCATGGAGTAGGAAGAGAAAGCAGTATTCAGAATGGATTGAAGGAAGGCCTGATCCAAAGTGGTATTCAAATACCTGTTGGGCTCAGTTGATGGTTCCTTTGGGTCCAGGGATATCACATACAGCAAGGCATGAAGAGGGGAAGCCCTAGGCATGGAACAGAGAAAGAAGCAGCTAGGTCTGGAAGAACATGGTGCACTGAAGGAGGAGCTAAAGGTAAGCAGGGGGCCAAAAAGGCCCAGAAAGCAGCTCTCACCTAAACTACGGGGATAGGCAGGTTCTTTAGGGATCCTGAGTAGAATGTGTTGACACATTAACCATCAGAGCATGCACACAAAGCTCGCTCAGACCTTGGCAACAGTGGTGTCCCTGCCCTGGGGAGCAGGGCCCAGCAGCACCACCCAGCCTCGGCCCCCGCTGGGACTCCGCAAGGTGGCAGGCCTGGGAGCACCGGTCACAGCAACAAGAGCGAACAAGGGAATGGGGAGTAGATTTGGCTGAGGGAGGCAAGAAGGTGGTGTGGGCCCTGTGGTGATTGCAGGTGTGGGGTGAGGTGGCAGGTGGGAAGTGTGGACTGAACGTGTAGGTGTCAGCTGATAACTGACACCTTGGATGAGGCTGTTCTGAGAAAGGGTGTGGGGGTTCATGCAGTTAACAGCTCTACCGCTGGTGCACGAACATTTACAGTTTCTATCTATTGCCTGGAACTCATCTGACATCATTGGGGTACTGCCTTTCCTATTTCAGGGCCAGGATTTTGGCTGGAGACTAGGTTGGAGAGGGTTGCCGGCCCTCCGCTCAAAGCAGTAGAGACAGAGTTATCACAACATAAATGGTGGCATGCCACCAGAATCAATACAGATTGAACCTCTGCTGGTGAGACTGCACAGTGCTTGCTTTTTTCTGTAGAGGAATCAATATTAATTGGCTATAGGATGGAAATACAGATGCAGTTGGGGAGAGAAAAAGTAGATGGGAAGCTGAGGTGAACAGAGGGTACTAGGTCCAGGCTGTGATTTTAGGCTCAGTCATTAACAAGAAGTTTTGTGAAAGTTGTAGTTTACCTGCCCCTTGGGTCACCCTTGTGGATAGAATGGCCTAGCGATGCAGTGCTACTAAGGTTTATTCTTCTTGGTTCATGTAGGTATTACTTTATTTTAACAGCTTAAATGTTGATAAGGGTCCCAGTGTGTCCCTCCCACTTTCATCCACTTTCCACCAGGGATAGGCAAAAGTAGAGTTATATCAGCCCTTCTCTTTTTATTGTTTTTCCCCAGTTCCCATGCAGGGTTTTACTCCATAAAAGCGTGTCATCCAAGCTGCGGTTAGCCTGCTGGTGCAGTGTAGCTGTCTCAAGGATTTCCCATTTAGGCTAGCCGCTCTGACTGGGTTTCTTAGCATGGAAGATTTAGTAAAAGAATTATTCTAGAGCTGTATAATGTCTGTATCCCAAATGACTCTGTTTCTAATTAGCTGTTGATATTGGCATGAGAAAGAAGAACAGCGATGACTTGAGAGCTAAATTTTACACTAAAGTGGCTTTGAAAATTTGTAATTTCAATGTGGTGTGCTAAGGGATGGTGGTGAAAGGAAGCTGGGGTAAAAGTACCCTTTATTCTTAAGGGTCATGTGGGACCTCCGCCTTCCTCATGCGTTTTTCTGCATCTGTCTGAAATATACCCACTGTTTGTCAATGTTTATTATTTTTTATTTAAAAGCAACATTTAGAAACTCTTGCTTCTACCTCAGATCTGGGCTTTATAATTTATTCCACCCATATTAAGGTCTGAATTCTCTTGTGAATTGATGATTTCCTGCTGTAAGGAAAGGTGAAATGAAGTGATTTCTCCCCCTTATCCAGAGAGCAGTAAGTGAGCTGTTTTTGAGCCTTCAGATGTCTAGTTTACAGTAAATATGCCAAATTGGCCTCTGTTATGTGCTTGCAATACCATGGGCACCCTTGTTAAATAACGATTATCTGACTTGACAGTGTTTCAACGTAGCCTGTGTACAGAGCTGAACCCAGTTTCTCACTTTACCATTTAATATGGAGCTTTGTGCATAGGCATTTCTGTATACTGACAGGGAAGATATAAAATATTTGGATCACCTTTGGGTTTTCATTGCCAAACTGGTTTAGTTGCCATGCAGACAAGGAAGAAGAACTGTTTGGTGCCGTGGGAAAAATAAATGGTGTATTGGAAACTCAGACTGAGAACAGATCTGCTTGCATGGGACCACCTTTATGTCCTAGAAAGGAGGAGTCCTTTCTGGGGACAGTTCATACCATGCAGGGAGGAAGGCTGAGCTCCATCGTGGCTATGAAGTATCTCTGTACATAGAGGTAGGAATATTAAAAAGTGGAAAAGTTGTAAGTCATCTAAAGTTGTTGAAACTGGTAGCGCAGGAGTTATTACCCTTGTGTTTTGTGCTTGAGTTCTTTCTCTCTAAAGCTTGTACCAGGTATTGCCCAGTCTATTTATAGTTTGCAGAGGAAATGAAGGGAAATAATTAGACTCTAGCTTTACAGTTTGTAAATTAACTGAATTAGAGGGTGGTTTGCAAGTGTGAACTGCTCAGGCTATGTGCAAAACCAGCTCATTTTACTTTTACTAATTTGTTCTTTAATTAATTAGTGCCTATGTCTGCTCATTTGTGCTGAGACTGGCAAGATGCTTCATGCAAGAAACCTGTTTTCATCTTGATTAATTCTCTGCTGGGACAAGCCTTTTAAAAAATATTAGCCAGCCATCTTCTCACTTAGCTCCAGGAGCTTACAGTCAAAATCGTAAGGCAGACAGGGGATGAGAGAAGGAAGGCAGAGACAGGCCATCCCGTTTTACAGATAAGGAAGTGGCACATATGGTGAAGTGAGTTACTCACACAGGGAATTTAGGGCAGAGATGGTAAATGAGTCCTGCTTTCCTGTGTGTTAATACTGTAATTACCACAGGTTCAGTTTCCTTTCTGAAAAAGTTGTGTGGGGCAGATTTTCAACTCTTTACTGCCTGTGGGAGGAGGCAGACTTTAGGGAAGTGCTCCCCAGCATATGGAGTGTGATGGCAATCACTGAGTTACCTGACAGGGGGAGATAGGCTGCCGGAGAAGCAAATGAGCCGGCCGTGCGTTTTGCTGAGTGATGATTCTGTGGGACCGAGTAAGTGAGGAAAACCCTGGTGATGCACCTGCAGCGGAACAAACAAGCCTTCTGGCAAGAAAGGACGGCCTGTTATGACCGCGCTTCCCCCAGAGCATCCCAAACGCTTATGCGTAAGAGATTTTTACAACAATTACCTATTCCCGTTTCTTTCGGCAGCAGTGCCCGTGTATCCGAGCAGCCCTCTTAAAACCAAGCGCACCTCAGTGCCTAGAGTTTCGGGGTGGGGGCGGACGGACACGACCGCGGGCGGCCCCCAGACCGGGGCTCCTGCCGCTGCCGCCGCAGCCCGAGACGGAGGGGAGGTTTCGTATCGCTAAGGTGGCGGTGGGGGTGGGCAGGGCGAGGCGGCCGCTGCTGTCGCCCGGGCGGGAGGCGCGGGGCCGGGCCGGGGCGCGGCGATGCGGGCGGGCGGGGAGCGCGATTGGCGCGGCGCCTGGGAGGAGGAGTGGCGGCCGCGCTGTGAATGGAGCCGGGTGGCTGCCGTGCCACAGGCTCCCTCCGCGTGGAGGGGGTACGGGGGATCCTTCAAGTGAGCCGGGCGTCTCGGGGCAGAGCAATGTGGCGAAGAGGAAAGGGCCACGGGAGCTGCTTGCCTTTTGGATAATTCCTGCCCTTGCCCTAGAGTCTTGTGCAGCGGCACTCTCTTGTCTGTGTGGGGCATGTGGAGCTGGGGTTTTATATGGCATTTGCGATCCAAACGAGATCACGCTTCCTTTTTTTTTAAATTCATTGCTTTGGGTACAGTATATCTCTCTCTCTTTTTTTCTTCGCTGGTAGTGGGGTGGGCCGGGAGGGACGATTGTGACACCAGAGGGAATGTTTACTTGTGCAGAAGTCTTCCTCGTGGAAACACACTGCTTCCTAACTCCTGGCTAAGCAGACTTCAGTTTGCCAACTTTGCTGCCGTACAGTACGCGTAACTCCTTGACAGGATGGCAGACAAAAGAACAGCTGGTGCAAAGCAATAGGGGATTCATAGCAAGGAGGCGGAAAGAAAACTACAAACCTTTCACCTGCACCATTGACATCCGACAATTGTCAGAGCAGCAGTTGCGACGGGACAAGCTGAAGCCACCATGCGCAGGTCTAGCACCGATGAGTCGACCTATCACAGGAGCCCTTCCCTGGACAGCAAGGATTACAGTTTCCCAAATGGCGCCTTTCGTCGCTACAGCAGCATGTATGGCGGCCAGTTTGGGGCTGCCAGCAACTCTTTTTTTGGATTTCATACCAACCCAGGCCCTAAGGCCACCAAGGCTAAGTACACGTCCCCCAAGGGAAACAAGTACGTTGTCTTTTACCTGGATCTCTCATTTATTTTTCTCCTAGAACTGAAGAGGTGCAGCATGGCTCACAACTGCCTGCAGTGTATCAAGTACCTAATGTTTGTCTTCAACCTTCTCTTCTGGGTGAGTACATGTTTGAACTGCGAGACAGTTGCATTTGTCTGCTTACTAAGATGGAAGGTGAACTTGTTGCTGCTTTTAAACTTAGGAGTTTAAACTTGGAAGTTGAACAAAGTGGTGCATAGGCTACCCTTTCTGTGGCCTCGTTAATTTGTGTGGACAACCTGCTGAGGGTTTGCTCACCCTCTAATTTCCTGGCCTTCAGCTGTGTTTCAAAACCGTGATACAAGGCAAAAGAATGTGTTTATAGAGGCCAGTTGCATGAATGCCTTCATCACTTTGTTCCAGTGAGAGCCATACACTCCTTTTGTTGCCTTGATCTTTCATTCTTGTGTGTGCTTGCCTCAAAAGTCATGCATAGTCTTAGAGAAATCAGTGAGGCCATTCATGATTTTACAGTTGAGTACATGCTCACATCCATTGCTGTATCAATACACCACAACATTAAAGTCTGTATCAGGAATCTCCAGGTGATCAATCTCTGTCCCAGTCAGTGATGGGTCCTAGCGTTGCCATTCGCCCCTGAAGATGTGGCTCTGAAGGGTGGAGGGAAAACAGAGACTTCCTCACTTCTTCTGGGGCTGCTGCTCTGTGACAAGAGCTTATCAAATCACTACAGGGCATGCGTGTGTCAGCAGGATACTGAGATGGGACATTTGGGTGTGCATCTCCACATCATCTTTCTAATAAATGAGGTGGCTGTCAACAGCAGGGTGGTTGGGCATTTCACTGCCATGAAATGGAGCACAGACTGTAGACGAAGACTAAAGTAACTCAATGGGGGGGTTAGGTTACAAATGCTGTTTGTCCTGTAAAAAAGGGAGTAGCATGATTGCTAGGAGAGGGGAGGAAGTGAATTCTAGTTCAAAGTCTCCCATCCAGCTTTGTATGTGGGAGGGTCTGTTGTGAGGTCCTCAGGAGGTGCCTTTAAATGCCTCATTCTTGAGAGTGGTTTATTAGCATGCTGAGGGAAATAAAGGGGTATTGTGAATTGACACTGCTTCTGTCCTGACACTTAAGGAGGGGCTGTGTGTTTGCAATTGGATGTTACCATGTCCATATTACTGATTGTCTGTGCTCTCATGAATTGTTAGAGGTACATGGAAAGCTGTGAGTGAGATGGAAAGAGCTGTTCTCTAGTGTGCGCTGCTGTACAGCTGTTTAAAACCAAGCATGCTGCAGTGCCGGTGCATCAGAAAACACAAAGTGCAGGCAACTTCTGCTGACCTGAGTCATACCAAGGAGTCAGGATGTGATAAACTAGTGCAAGTCCACTGAACTGGCATGGTACTAACCAGAGCAATTAAACACACAGAGGGTGTTCTCTTTACACTCCAGATAAGATGGTAGAAAGAGTATCGGTAAGGCTGTAGTCTGTCTTTCGACTCTGACTCTGGTTGCTTCTGTGTTCCTAAATATTGTCTAATATTTGTTGCAGCTTACTCCAGTCCTTTCTGAAAAAGGCAAGCGCTATCTTTCTTGATTTTTTTTAAGCTTTGTGCCTCGACTGACTGTCCCTGGTCGAGATTATAGCACTGACAGCTAGTTGAAGTGTGTGCTAGAGAAATGACATAGGATGCTGGCGTTAATAGCTCTTTTCAGGACTATGCATGGCACTGCCACAAAGGATACTCATTGCATTCTGATTCCTTTTACAATATTCATCTTCCACTGAAGCATATGCATATGATAAGAAGAGGTACTGCTGCAAGTAATGTGTCTGTATTTACAAAGGGAAGATGGCACATAATAATACGTCTTTGGTGTACTTTTCAGTAGGAAAGCCTTAATCCTTTGAGAGAGAAGGAAGGGGTTTTGTCTTTTCTCTGAAACCATCAAAGCTATTCTCAAGTGCTTGGAGGAAGAGAAAGGAGAGGGGTCCCAAAAAGAGAGAATAACCATATGCCAACTGGGCTCTTCATGAACTAAAGCGTATGAGCAGGGGAGTGGGTGGTGTCAAATACTGCAGCACGATTTCTGTTTTGTTTCTCTTTCACATGCTACCTGCACAGCAGGAGTGATTGATGATGATCATGTCCAAATGAGGTTTGCACAGCATGCAGTTATAATAGATGCAGCTCTTCACCTTCTCACAGTGGAGGAAGTAACTAAAAAGAGATGATTTTTGAAAGTACTGGCTTAAGCTGACCTATCTTTAGTAAAAGCAGAAAAAAAATTCCATTTCTAGTGATCAAAAATCTTGGAATGATTACAGGTTAATGATGCTGCTGTTTTGTTTTTCAAGTTGTTGTCAGTTATTTGTCATGTTTTACTTTGTGAAATTAAAGGAGAAGCATCTCCGCAAGAAGACAGGATTTCTCTTTGCGTACATGCTCATGGAAGTTTTGCTGTCTCTGCCTTTCCCCTCCACCCTTCTATAGGTAGTTGGTTAGTGACAGACAGTAGGAAGTGGGAAGAGGAATATTTTTTTTTCATGCTTTGACCTCCAAATAAAAACTGCAGTTATTTCCATGTATAGAGAGCAGTCATTGCATTAAATGAATTAAATACTTGTTCCTGCTTTTTATTCTGTTTTGAGCAAATGCTTTGATTTCCTTCAGAAATCATATTTTCATTTTCTGCTTCCTGTTCCTATTCATTAACTCCAGTCCATTTTGTGTATCCCTACAGCCTATTTCCCAGTACTTTCAGCTGTCTTTCCCACAGTGGGGCAGAAAAATATCCCTCAGCCCTGTGTAACTCTGATGAGATTGGTGCTGCATTTCTGAAGAAAAGACCCTTTTCTTAGAAGCCTGGCAATTTTATAGGAAACGAAATCTTAGAGATCTTGATTTTAAATGTTCCTGGCAAACTTTATTGGATTAGTTGCTGCAGTCATGCTGTAAAATTTTTAAAAGCTGTCATATAACTGTGAAAACAAAAATTTTCTCCACATGTTTCTGATGGTTGAAAGAAACACAAAGCTTCTTCACAAGTGTCAGATGCTGAGGTGCCTTGTGAGTGTTGGTGCTGAGTCGGTCCATTGGTACAGCAAACCAGCAGCTATTAATGCAGAGAAAAAAATCTGATAGTCCTAGAATACCTCGTTTCTCCATGAAGAGTCCTGCACAAATTGCTCTTGGTACATATGCAACTCTGGGGTATTAAGGTACTGAAACATGGACAAAACATTATTAGACAACAGTGCTGCCACTCTAGTGGGAATTGCCATTCAGAGGCCATTTGGTGGAGTATTGCCAGATGCAGAGGAGCCGTCATTGTATCACTGCACTGGTTTGTAAGATCCCAGAATAACTTTTGTCACCTGATACATTATACTTGGCTGACTTCATTTATTTTTATGGACTTCGATTTTCTTTTGTTGAATTGCTGAACCCTAGAGACTAAAGATCACCTCAGATGATCACAAAACAGAATATTTTTATTTCATAATGAAATATTGGTATTTCATTGTGAAATACCCAGGGAACAACATTTGTTTTCTACATTCTGTCCTCCAAACATCCAGTTTCTTTATCACAGTCAGGAAAATGAACTATTTTCTTTTTGTGCTTGTAATCCAAGGCTCTGCTTGCCTTCTCTTTTTTTTTTTTTTTTTTTTTTGTTAAAAAAGGAGGGTATATACTAAGGGCTGAGAAAGAAAAATATAATCTCCTTAATCCCCCTTGGCTTACGCCGGCATTTCTACTTTCTTTGACTTCTAACTCTCAGACCTCCAAGGCTCGAAAAAGGAAAAGCACAGAACTGTACTTGTGTTTCCAGTGGCTCTTGCTTTCCTTAAGTGATCCTTTGCTAGAGAGAACTAGCTAGATTGGTCGTGATTTGCCCATTGAAGAACTGAATACCTATATCTGACTCTTCAACTTCTTTGACCAATAGAGAAATTCAGTAAAGCACAGAATTTGCAAAATTCTGTTGTTAGAAGACAAGTTATAGAGAAGAAACAACAATAAAAGGGGACAAAGTTTATTATTTATCAAACTTACCATTAATCATTTCTATGCATGTGGCTCCTTTCCTTTGTTAAAACATACTGAAGTTGTATGCACTATGAAGAAGTCTTCAAAATGGTATGTAAAGACTATAATTCCAGTGGGTGGACTCTCAAAGACCCAGGGTAATATTCTCTTGCAGCTTGGGAGTTGCCATCTGCTGGACATACTATGGGTAGGATGAGCAGCTGGAGCTTGCCACCTTACTGCCTAAAGAGATGAAGCAAGGTACTGGGCCTGCTGCTTTGTTTTGGGATTTGGTCCATAAAATTCTCAACTGATACAGCCCTGTGAATGATGTATCTTGGCTTCTGAGACATAAAGTGTGAATCTGAAATGTATGGAAACACAGAGCCAAGGGCGGCAGGTAGCACTAGTGAATGCGCTAGGATCAGTGTGGAAAAAAACCAACCACAAACCTATTTAATCTGATTCTAGGGACCAACTGGTGGGTCTCTTGCTCTGGCTTTGCTGCTTTTGGTGGTTCATGGACCACAGTTTGGGAAGCTCTGCACTAATGAGTACTGCTGGCCTGGTGCACTGGTGATACTGCCAGCAGTCAGTTTTTCTTACTTGTATGTAATTGGAAAGAAGGAGGGGAAGTAATGAAAATGAGAAATCCCTCATTCCTGGCATAATTTTCCTTCCTTGCACTTCAACTTCAGTGGCACAGGTATGTCTTGTAAGAACTATGCAAATGTTTATAATATCTGGAGGACTGAGTGTGCAGGGCAGCAGGTAAAAGGAACAGCTTGGTCTGAAAATGCACCATGGGGCACTGGATGGTCTTTGAGTGACCCTGGCCAAATTTGGCCAGAGGGTGGTGGCAGAGGGATGTCTCTTAATTTCTTTGTACCTCGTTGGGAAACCATCTGACATTATTAGCTTGAGAGGAGAGCTGTTAGCTGAGCTCATTCCCAAAGCTGCGGAATTTTGTGAGAGAAGCAGCTGATTTTGTTGAATTGGATTCCTTGTCCTTCATCTGCATCCTCCATCCTCCATCAGTGAGCTGAATGAGATTGATGGCTAAAACAGCCAGAAACTCTACAG